CCTGAGCAACAGGTAGATGGTCGCTTTAGTTTACCTCTCATGTGAAGGATAGTCGGTGCTTTCTGACAATGCAGCCCTCCCCCAGTATGTCAGTGGAATGTGAGCTCACGTCCTGATGTGGGGTTTGAGCCTACCTTCTTCTGATACAAAATCCTGAACCAACAGCAATTGGTGTCACATCACTGGTACACTTATCCTGCACTATTTATGCTGATCTTACACTGAACTTCTGAGGTGCACATTCACTTATGCAATTGTTGTCTCGCCCCATGGAAGCGTAGCTCAACATGACTTTAATTCAAGCAGCATTTTAACATATATTATTCCCAATACAAGGCCTGCTTCCCACCCCCACTTAAGTTGAGTTTCAAAATGATTATTCATCTTATATTTGTGGACCTACCAAAAGAGTAGATTACTTGACCTGGGTTACAAGATACTGGTTTGAAAAGAACTGTTATGTGAGAATTGAGAAATTGTATGCATATGATCTCAGTTGCTAGGGGCACAATTTTCTACTCGGTACATGTCAATCACATGCCTACTAACGTGCAGACAAATGGAGAGAGAGAGAAAGTCATAGAGAGAAATAAAAAGAGATGAGAACGAAAGTCAGAGAGAGAAGAGCAGGTGTAATGTGATGTCATGATGCACAATCTAAATTGCCAGTATTTTAGAATTTATCAATATTTTTAAGGGAAGTTTAATGTACCGTATTATTGTTCTAAAATTATAGAAACAAGTTTTTTTTTGACTTGTATATTTACTATATTGCACTTTATTTTGTTTTAATCAAAACCATGAAAATCGCAGGGTAGTGTCCTTGTATTCAAAACAGCACATTAGTTGTATTAAATTTGAGTTGAAAATAGTTTTGAAATAAAATATGGTGTTACACAACTTCTATATCTGGGCAGAGAGATGGGTGGGGTAACAGAGAAAGAGAAAAACCTTTTCGAAAAACTTTAATGTAGACTGCCTGAACGATGCAACCGATTCCCACAGAGGTTGATGAAATATTTTGTTTGTATTTGAACCTTTTCAGTCAAGGTTAAATTAATGTTCAAATACCTGTTGCCCTCGTAATGTTGCAAAAGTCGATATATTTTGTACATATATATAGTGCTGTGGGTTTCTTCCTAGCATGTTTCAGCAATCTTAAGAATATCAATGTATTTGGTCTTCTGGGGTCTCATGTAGTCTGTGTAGAAGTACAGTGGGTGATGAGCTACGTCCCAAAGGAATATGTTTTTGATAACAACCTTCATTTCAAACATACTAATATAGATCTGTTATTCCCCTTCCACATCTTCAGCAACACATTTTAAATTGCGCTTGATGCTTTATGCAAATGGCTAACTGATTAGACACCACGGCAGCGTCTGCTGATGTCTCCCAGGATTTCTTCAGAGTTTGTTAACTAACCATCAAAGCAGAGTGGGTGAATGGAAATTACTGTGTAGCTTTGAAGGAGGAAAGCAGGCTCACCTCTTTTAATTAGGCTTAATTAGAAATGTACATTAGACCACAGCATACCTTGTTATTTTATAAGTATTGCAAAGTGTAAGGATTTATGATTAATCTTGTAATCTCTATTTACTGTGCCAAAATGTTCATATTTTGCTAACTGGCCTTCAAACTGTTTAGCTAGCTTCTGTCACCTCAAACAGAATTTTAGGATACGTAAGTAAATGCATCAATCATAGGTCCAAGTAGGTGAACCTTACACTGTATCAGCATTGGTCAGACCACACAGGATTGTGATCAGCTTGGTAAATGTACTTGCAAAAATCGGGCCATTGGAATGTATCTTAAGAAGGTAATAGCGAGTCTCTTGGGATTCAGATCTGAAGGGTTGAAGATTTGGTACGATGGGGGAAGAGGTGACAAGTGGGGAGGGAATGGAAAATAATCCCATATTTGTTAAATTGTGAAGAGATTGTGAAGGTGGCGGATGTGGAGAGGTAATTGTGTGGAACCAACAGAAGAGAACGAGGAAATATGATTTTAAATTAAGGCAACCTCCAGTTTAATATAAATCAAGGAAAATTTAGAGTTAACTTGTGGATTCCCACCGAGCACACTGAATGTAAGCTTAGAGCGTTAATAAAAAAAAAGCCATTCCATTACTGATTGAACAGTGAATGAAGAGTAGAGGCTTGTTGCTAAGGCAGGAATTAAAATGGTTGGAGGCAGGTTATCAGAATGTAACAGTGGAGAAGATTATATAATAATAATCCTTGCATTTGATATAACACCTGATCATGTCGTCAAAATGTCTCAAAGCATTTCACAGGATACATTGTAGAATCCAGTGACCCGTGTATTTTGTAGGCGAATAAATTGATAATCTATATGTGTCTGCATTTCAGCTGTAATGCTACATTTCTGATTAATTATAATATTGTGGGCTTTTTTCATGTGGAAGGTGTCATTTTGAACACGTAATATTTGCATTGCACTTGGATGATGGTCATGGGAAATGTCATTGTGGTTCTTGTTGTGGTTTTTCTACTCACTGAATGAAAGCTGACAGCATTTTGGCTGACCCAGATCATCCATTCATGTTAAATATTAAATGTGTGCCTGTTACTGGCAGGCTGACAGACCAACATGTAGGCATGAAAGGAGAATGCCTACTGTGCAGAAAGAAAGAATAATGTAGACTGCTATCCATGAACAATTTAGGCAGTAGCACAGTGGATTAATTCCTCTGTGGAGTCCCTTCATTCTCATTGCCTATTCTCTAGTCACCAATAAATCTATGGTTGTCTGCACCACTTTTAGGGTCTAGAGCAGCCAAAGGGGCTCAGAATTTGAGAAACGAACATTCAGAACTATTCTTGTTTTTAAAATCTTCATGCACCTTTTATATATCAGGACTTTGAACACACTGACTCAGCTGACAGTCCAATACAGTGCTGGAGAACACTGCACCTGAAAAAAGCTTTGCGTTTTAGCATCTTATCACATCCTTAGAACATCTCAAAGTTCTTCACAGCACTTACTGTAAAGTGGAGAGATTCTGTATTTTGTAGGTGAATGTGGCAGCCAATTTGCACACAGCAATGTCCCACAAACAGCTATAAAGTGAGTGATTAATTTTAATTGGGAGATTGTTGACCACGACACAGGGAAAAATTCCCTTCTCTCTTCAAAGAGTCCCATTAGATCTTTAAAGTCCACCTGAACAAGCAGACAGGACCTCAGTTTAATGTCTCATCCTAAGGACAGCACCTTTGGTGTCAAAGGAGTCTTAACATAATCAATATCTTCTAGAAGGGAGAAGGGGAGAAAATTGAGGGGAAGATATATATATTTTTTAAAAAAGCATAGCATGAGCTAACGAAGTAAAACCAAATTATGGAAAATTAGGTCAGAGATCATTGATGCCTTGAAAATGCTGACCAAGCATAAAACAATAAATTGGGCTAAAAAATAAATGTGCACCAAAACGAGTTATTCATTCCTGTGGGCTTGTCAGTATTGGTTTGCCACACGTACATAGCCATTGCCAGTTCTGTGATGTTATTGATTTGATAGTAAGAGACCATCCATAATTGTCATCTTTTGCTGCGCATGAGTTCTCTTTTACTGATTCTTTGTCCCAAAAGAGTACTGTTCACACAATAGTCCCAGATTGTCCAATTTAAAGGTGGTTTCTTATACAAAATTATATTGAGCAAAATGAAAAGCTTCCCTTATGTATAATCCTGGGGATCATGAAATTGTGATTAACTGTGATTAAAAGTTCTGGACATTTATAAGTTCACCTAGCAGTCTTATTGTTTTCAAAAAATCATTAAGTTTAGGTATCTTATCACTGAAAATTTCAGCAAAATTTTATCTCTGTAAAAATTCCACAACTTGTTACTGACTTCCTTTGTAAAATACATTGAAGCATGCATATTGTTTTACTCACGTTACGCTGTTATGCTGCGGCAGTACAATACTCAGATTGCTTTGGGCGCTGTGCTGAAATTGACAAAACTCACCTCTCATTGTCCTTACAGTATCTTCTGTTGTGTCCTTTCACTTTTGCCTGATTTAAAATGTTAATGCCTCTATATTTAAATGGAATCAAATTGGAACTTTTTCCCACCTGGTTCGATTTATTATGGTTACTGTAAAATAAATATTAAGGCAAATGTGTCTTTAAGTATTCTACAATACAATAACGTTTTACCTAATTTCTCTACGAATTGGAATCTCCATTGCGAGCGCTGGTGCTCAGGCTCTTTATTGGTGAACTCTATTTTCATTCTTGTTAAATTGTAACGCAGTAACAATACATTGATGTATTGTGTATTCTCAAGCTCTCATGTTCTATAGAAATTTCACAATATGCTAGAGGGTGTCCAGAGAATACACATAGGTAAGTACCTCTAACTAACCTTATTTATAAGTGATTATAAATCATTAATCCACTCAAGAGAGGGAAACTTTTTCAAGAGTCAGCAAGTTAAATATTTATATTAACTATTGCATTGCTTATATCATTGTTTCTTTTTTAAATGTTCCCTGAAGTGAATTGTTCCTATTGATCATTTATTGCTTAGGTTCTTGGGTACATAATATGCACTCCAACTCTGTGGGAGCCAACAAGCCGCTAATCGCTAAAATAGCAATCTTTCAGCATTAGTTTATAATAGGAAATCTCATAACAAACAACTGAGAGTTCCCTGTTCGGCAATTCATGTGTGATAAAACCCTTTATATCTCTTTGATCATACCTATGGTCATCTCCTTCTCTTCTCCCTCACTTAGTGCTATTATGCAGATACTATTCTGTGTGAACAACAGCAACTTGCATTTATATAGATCCATTTATATAGTGAAGGGAACTCTCTAAATGCAAATTATTTTTTTATAGCCTGTTATATGTATGTCAGCTTTTATAAATTATTTTTTTCGGGAATGCAATGTCATGTCCAGGGTTGTCAGAGAGGAATTAAAATAATTGTTGGAATGTAATGCAACTATATATTTTTTATTTTTAGATGAGCTGTTGATAAAGATTGAAAAAAAATGGGAAGGAAAGATGCTGGTACCTCTAAAGTCCCAATTGATCAGTACCGGAAACAAATAGGTAAATAAAGTACAAATTCTTACAGATTTAAGAGTTACAAGTTTTAGATAACATTGGAGGGCATTAGAGATGTACTTTAAATATATTTTTTATCATATATTGTGAAATAATTGTGCTTCCTTTTGTTCAAGGAGTACTCCAGGTCTCTCTCTTGAGAGTCTTTTACTGAAAATAACACATAGTCAGGTGTCTATTTGCCACACGTGTAAAACATGTTTTTTTTTGGTCAGCTGGGTATCTGACAAGCGGTCTGCATGTTTAAGAGTATCCATTTTAATTTAAATGTTCAATTTTTTCAATCCTATTTATATGGAGGGAAAACGACAGTGTGTGTCATATGCTCACACATGTAGAGAGGAAGTTACAGGTACTTTTTAACAACCAATTAAAAAACATTTATTAATTTTGTAAGTAATAACAAATTATTTTCATTACGCCTTTCATTCCCTTAGTTCACACGATTTGCATACAGAATGTAAAAATTCTACAGCAGGTAAAACAAGTTTGTATAACAAATGCTAACCATGTAGTCACTAGGCGCTTGTTTGGAGTTGCAATCTTCACGTTTGTAATAATAATAATCATCCTTGTTTTTGATATAGTGCTTTATCATGTCGTCGAGATGTCTCTTAAAGAGCCTCATAGGATTTTACTGTAAATTTAGTGATAGTGTAGGCAAACACAGCAGCCAGTGTGCATATAGCAATATCCCACAAACAACCATGAAATAAATGACCAGTTTTACCTAGTTAGCCTTAAAAGTGAAGAATATGTGGGCCCTGATTGAGCATCCCAACCACTGATATTTATCTATCATCAAAGAAGGATTGAAAAATACTCTCATGGAGATAATTAAATGGACACATGAGAGCTTGAATTTGTCGTAATCAAAAATGCTCTGAGATGGTGTATGGGTTTTTGTGGAGGACAAACCTGAAGCCTCAGGATTATCTGCATTGTATAGGATGACCAATAAGTTGTGATTACAATGCCTAATAAGTCTTAAATGTCGTTTTCAAATCACATCATTCCCTCGCACCTTCCTACCTATCCGACCTGCTTACCCTTCACTTCACCACCGGCTGCCTCTGCTCAGCTGGCTCCAGCCTCGTAATTATTCCTCATGCCCTCCACGCCACCATGGTGGCTGTGCCTTCAGCCATTGCACCCCCAAAATTTGGAAATCTCTCCCTCGATCCCTCCCCCTTGCCCCTTCCCTCCCACCTTCAAATCCCGCATAAAGATCTTCCTTTTTGATCGTGCTTACGGTCACCTCTTGCGTCCCTCTCCCCCTAGCTTGTTGTCAGACTCTGCCACTGTGAAGGGCTCTGGGATGCTACCCTGCATGAAGGGCGCTCTATAAATGCAAGTTGTGTTAAAAGAAATTATGATTTATTTTAGATAATAGGTTAGATATAACAACTCTTTGGTCACCCCGTAGGTCTAGAAGTTGGATTCTCTCCCCCAGTATCCGTGACATGTGCTGTCTTGAAGCTCCGTGCTTGTTCCCTGTTGGCTCCTATATTTTCATTTCTAAGCGTGGTTCAGTTTTTACACGCATTCACTCATCTCGATAATTACAGTTCAAAGCGTTCGAAAATAACCATACATTATGTTATAATGTGGTAGATTTAAGGTGGCGGCTAAAACATGAAATAAAGGACTGAATTTGTGGTTCAAGTCCTGCGTGTTGTTCTGGATTCCAGTGCAGGTTTTTGGTTAGTTGGATGGGAATGTGGAATGTCAACAAAGGCAGCAGGTGCATACAGCAGTGCTAGACAGTTGTGTTGCTTTAGCTGCATGGCTGCATTTTTACATCCTCTCCAGATGTTTGTTTGAGAGGTAACTCTTTGCTAGCCAAGCACCGTATTGATATCTTTCAACTACGTGCATACGTCTATCCTTACGGTGATAGTAACAGACATGGAACACAACATATGATGATTGTAGCTATGAGGATATAAGAAATTTGAGGAACAAGAGAAGATGAAAGGATACATCACTGATTGATTGATTGACCTCAATGCCCATCAAGCTGCTTTCTACCCATAGTCCCAGGTCTCTTCTCTCCAGAATCATATCTCGAACCCATTTATACAATTCATTTCAACGATCTTCGCTGGCAACTCATTCCAAGAATCAATTATCCTTTGGAGAATATAACTTCTATCTGAATTCCCTTTTTTTTGCTCCCAACTTACCAATTTTTAACTTGTGCGTTCCCTGGTATTTGAACTCTTTGACATACAGAAAAAGTTCCTCTCAGCAACACTTGTCAATTTTAACTCATCGTAAAGTTTAGCTTCCAATGACATTATGGGTAATGTCCTTAGCAGATCCTGCTAACCTGTGTTCCTAGTGGGCAGAATCTACTGGATTGGGCACTTGTCTCTCTTTAGAGGCAGTGATATCCTCCCATGATTCAGTGACCAAGACTTCACCTGGTTAAATGTACTAGCTAAATGAAACATTTGGATAGAGTATTGGGTGGTCGCTGCTGAGCACAGTGCCTCTTAGTTGCAAACGGAAAAATGAAATGAAGACCTTTCCTAAGCCTCTCTCCCAGTCTTCTGAGCAGCCAGTCTGAAAGCGGCATTGGTGGGCGAGGTGAGAGATCTGACCACTACTCCGAATTGCCCACAGAATACACAATCACTACATTTTACAATAAATAGATTCACAATAAATCCTATGAAGTACTTTGAGATGTCTTTATGATGTGATAAGGCACTATATCAAACCCAAGGATTATTACTACTATAGATACAATTGGTCTTTCCTTTCAATGCTGTTTGTGGGACATTGCTGGTGTAAATTGGTTTCCCCATTTGCCTACAAAATACAAAGGCACTACACTTTACAGTGATTTTTGAGAAGTGCTTTGAGATATTCTTCACCTATGAACTGCAAGAATTATTATTCATAATAACTATGCATACATCATATAGCAAAGCATGGCAACAGATCCCTGATATAAGAAACTTACTGACAAAACAGGAAGTATCATGCACAGAGTTTTTAACAACAGCTGGGTTATATGAAGTGTTGAGCTGTACACTGATCAGCAACACAAACTTAGGGTTCAGAAATCTTAATGAAATGCATCAAAAGTTTATTGCCTCTTACAAAGCACTTGGATTGGCATAGCTTTGTTACAAATTCCAAATTACCTGTTTATTTGTTTGGATTCATAACAGGGATATTGTTAGTCTCTTTTCTTTCTCAGTTTGCAGGAGCCGTGCTTGTTATAACTGGTCCGTTAAATTAACGCCATGCAATGCACTATACACAAAATCGAGGAAATGCAAAATTTGCTTATGTGCAAATGGACCTGCTTTTTTTTTACTTTTACCTTTTTTCTTTGTGACTGTGTAAAGTCTTTCTGTTTGCTCTTCATTTCCCTGGGCTCCTTAAACATTGAATTTCCTTTATCTGAGCAATGGGGGAAGATGACCTGTTTCAAAATCTCTGCAATGCAGAGACTGAGCTGACAACCACTAGTTTGAGAATGGTTTGAAGACGTCACTCCCTTTGATTATGCTCTCCCCAAGCACAGAAGTACCTCACTTGTGCCGGTTGCTTCTCCAGAGCAGCTTGTCTCTGAAGTGCTGTTTGGGATTGAATTTACATTTTACTGTTGTCTCAGTACTCCAGCCCCGTCTCATGATTTTTACTGTTAATTTATGCTTACTGTTAGTTGTACCACTGTCTACCTACGGTTCCATCTGTGCAAAATTGTGTTTGAAAGTCAACGAAAGTTTGTGCAAACATCTGGCACTATTTTGCTCTTGGTATGAGGTGTGAACGACACTATAGTATTAACTTCTGATTTATAATCCTTCTGTTATCCACCTCCTGGAACAAAACGTGATTTTCTGCCACTTCCTTTTTCAGAAGTCTACGTGTAGGACTCGTATAGGTCACATTACATCCTTCAAAATATCAGATGACAAAGAGTATGTTACAAGTCCTTAAGCTACTCAAGGAATAATATGCTATGCTGAACAGTTCAGAAACGCTGTCCAAACTCTTGATACTATGTTACAGCCTCAAAAGAATATTGAATGTAAATAAACTGAAAATCATCTAAATGTTCCTGTTACAGGAAACCAGAGCGAAATTTAAAATAAAATTGACTTGTTCCAAAAAGTTTCAAAGAGTGCTTTAGTTGCAGCACATTTGCAATAAACAGATGTTAGAACCTTCTTGTAGGCATTTAGGTCAGGGTGGGGAACAGAACCGCTGGCAGAAATTTGCAGCTTTGAATAAAAACTTGGCGGTCGCCGAATTGAAGTAAGAGGCCTTAATACGTGGTGGTGTTATGGTGAGAAGAAATATCTTCACAGAATAGAGCATGTGAATAGAGTAGCAGCTGGATTGGAGTTTGTTCAGAACTGTAACCCAATCTGTGAGTTCACATGATGCCATAACCTCAAGAATAAAGCTCTTGTGGGTTTTAGATTTGTCTGAAACCACACATTGTGTTACAGCTGTGTAAGGCTACCCGACTAAACTTTTTTTTGGTAATCTACACAGAGTTATTGTACTTTATCACAACTTTTTCTTTCAGCAAAATCCTCTCCTGGTCAAATGAATATTCTGGCCTTGGTCCTAATAACTTAATTCCTTCTAAAAATCTGAATGGAAAAGCACAGAAGCAGTATAAAATCAAAAAAAATCATTATTCGCAATGGAAAAGTTTGTTATGGTCTTCGAAGCTGAGAGTTTGTGTAATGGCCTGTTTCAAAACCCATTTTACATCCGGGAGAGTTTGTTCAGGAGGAGATGTGATACCAACTGCACAAGTCATTGTAATGTGTTTTTCACAACACTGCTTTTATATCTTAAATAATTCGCTGCAGATGCATTGGATAATTACTCATGTATTTAAACACCTGCTAAAATAATATCCCAATCATTTCACCAGGAATGAAAACACCCCTTTAAATGACCTTAGTTACTGACCTCAGTATGTGTGTGTGTGAGTGAGTTTGAGAGAA